TCGGAACAGTGCAAGTTCGCATGTTTGATGGCGTGGTGAGAACATTAACTGGAGTGAAACATGTACCGGGTCTAAAATGAAATTTGACTTCATTGGGGGCTTTAGATTCAGAAGGCTGCCGAATTTTTGCTCAAGGTGGAGTGTTAAAAATTTCTAGGGGAGCAATGGTGGTAGCAAAAGGAGTTTTGTCAAAGGGCTTGTATAAACTTGTTGAAAAAGATTTGACACGGAAGTTGTCAGAAGGAAAAATAACAAGTGCAACGAGCGGAGCATTTGCATGGAAGAAGCGGGTGACATTTAAAGTTTCTCCAGCTGGTGGAAGATGTGACCTCACCGGAACGAGCGAGGTGGAGCCGGACCAAGTTTTATTATTTAATCAAGGTGGAGTTTGTTGAGATATTTTTGATTAAATAATTGAAACAAAAAAAAGAATAAATAAAAAGGGAAAAAAATGAGATGCTGCTGGGTGGAAACTACCAAGAAATGAGCTGCAATGATGGATAGCCCTTTTTTGGAGTTTTGTTGTCTTTCTCTTGGAGTTGTCACCTAATATTCCCACTATTATGGTTTTTGGCTATTTAATAGCCATGGAACAACACGGAAGAGAGTGGGAGAAAAAAAAGAGAGGAAGGTTAAAGAGAGACATTTTACACAAGATATCACCAACATTGTGTGAGTGAGTGTAGGAAGTAACTGGTTTTTTAGTTACTCGGAAAATACATCCGGGTGTAGGGTGTGAAAAGTCTGTTTATAAGTGTCTGGTATTTAGCACTTGTAAATAGGGAGAGTTTTTTGTGTATCGTTCTGAAATAGTGAAGATATAATTTTTCTCTCATATATATTCTTCTTGTGTTTGTTTTCTCATTTTTCTGGTTTTCTCAATATTTTTTGGTATCTTACGCGCTTAAAATCCCAACAAAAAAACAACACAACTTACTTTCAAAAATAATACCAGACGAATAAAAAATGTGAAGAAAAATAATAGAGTATCACAAACAATACAATATTACGAAAATTGATGGATTTTTTTTTTACCCAGTGCAAGGGGGAGCCATACTACTTTCGTTACACGCCGTGGTACCATTTTCGCCCGCTTTATAAGTCCTCCTGCACCGAAAATAATAACGAAGAAATGTTTCTAGGTAAGAGTAATATGTTAAGTTGTTCAAAATTAAATATGTATCAATAAATAAAAAAAAACTAAACAACATTTAAATAAAGAACATGAATTTATTAAAATAAAAAAAAAGTAACCTGTGGACGTTTGATCTCCTTCCACGTGCTGTAATCTGATGATGCACCTCAGATTTTGCAGTGTCAAGTGCTGGCTGTGATATCTCTAGCCCTTCTCTCTTCAATATGCTCACATAACTAATTATATAATTTAATCAATCCATAAACTGAACCATTGTTAGCCAAAACTCAAAATTAGATATTTTTAGGGCACGCTTTAATTCGTCTTCGAAAAATTTTATGGGACAGAAGAAAGTATAAAAATGGCAAGAAAATCGGACATACTTTTTAGGATTGAAGTTTTGGACTCCGAGGTCTTCGTCCCACAGGAAAATGTAGTTGTATTCTGCAACTATATCTGGATGTAAAAACCGCTTTGCGAACCACCTAAATACATAGTTTTTCCCATCCCAATAGAGGGTGTTGTTTATTTAGAGCATCACAAACAAACAATACAACAAATATATATATATACATAGAGGCTAGAATGTAATGGAATTAATTGAATGATCAAAAAAAGGAAAAAGAGGAGAAATATTGAACCATTTAGTTTGGTTGAGAGCTGAAATGTGAATCACATCATTGCTCCATTTAAAATCCTTCCATTCATCAACAATGCCATCATAATGGAATAGCATTACTGTGAAATTACATGACAGGAACTGCATTTCGATGTCAACAAATTAGTGTCATAAATATAGAATATAATATTAATTACATCCTCTGGTCCTGAATATTTGTCCACTTTAACATCGTGTAATTAATATCGTGTTTGTATAGGTAGGGCCTTTCATTGTTTTTTTATAAAAAAATATGCATGTATAATCACCGTCTAAGAACACTCGTTTAATTTAAATTTGATCTTTTAATTGAGTCGGCTCATTGACATCGTATCAAAGTCTAAATAACCAAGAGGTCACGAGTTTGAACCGTACCGCCACCCATGTCAGTTTAAAAAAAAGGTTTACGTGCAAAGCTCGAAGCGGGGACACGTCTGCACGTGAGGAGCGCGTTAGAGTATAATCCTTTTCTTAGGACACAACCAGAAGCTTAAGCTTTTGGTTGAATTAGTTTCTTGACATGGTATCAAAGCCTTCTTGATCAAGAGGTCATGAGTTCGAATCTCACCGTCACCCAATTTTAGGAACACTAAGGTTTCACGTGCAAGGTTCAAAACGGTCATGCCTGAGTTAGTTCTTTAACACTAAGGAAAATAAATAAAGAAAATGAATGAAGTTTGACTCAATAAATAATGAATAGACAACATAAATTGAGATAAGAGGATTACCTTTCTGACCATCATGTCTACTTTTTCTTTCTGCTTCATCCCAACTGCAGCTGAAAATAGATTTCTCCCAAAATCTGATTTCTGTTTACAGAGACCTATGAATAAGTTTTATTGTTGTTTATAGTTTTCGGGTTGGAATTAATATATCAAGAAACATAAAGTGACAATCTTACATGCACGTACAAGCAATATGTGTATATACTCAAATCACATAAATACATATATGCATAGGTTACAAACTAAGGTAAAACACTCCAGCAAAACCCACGAACTAATGCTAAAAGATCTACGCCATAAACTATGCATGTGATCATCTAAAATCATATACTCAGTAAGATTCTGAAAGAGTTTATTGCACCAACGTTCTATGTGATTTGATAAATATACACCGCTTCCCTCCATGGTTTCAAAAAGCTCTTCATAGTTTTGATATTTTGCCACGCTAATGGTCCTTTAGACAAAAATATCCTTCAAATATTAGGTGAATAACTATGCTGTCTCCAATGGTTTGGAAATAGACGCCAACGCCCCCTCTCCTTTTTTCATTATTGTTTTTCTATTTCTTTTCTTTTTTCAGAAAGAGAAAAAAATTGTTTATGTGTGAAATAATGAAAAATTATTATTTTTCAAATCTCTATTTTAAAAAGAAGTTTTTTTAAAAAAAATTGTTTGAAATAAAAAATTTAACATGTACTTCTTTTTTTAAGATTTAAATATTCTTATATTGACTAAAGAAGTTTTTATCTTTTTGAATATGTTGGGACGAAAAGAATATTGAGCAACGTCTTTTTAATGTATACAAAGTAGTTACATATATATTCATAATATATTTTTCACCAATGCACAATAGATTTCTTTAATGACTTAATTTTTCATATTCTATAAAAGTATTTTTTTTCATATACTCTTCTTTTTCTTTACTTTATTTTTTGTTCTTTTTTCTTTTATTTTAATTTCGAATAAAATAAACAGAAAATGAGAAATGAGCTATAGTGGAAAAAGAGAATGTTTCATTCATTTTCTTAACTTAAAAATGAACCAATAAAGACCTCTTTTGGACAAAAAATGAAAATGTTTAATTTGAAACAAATGATTTTTATTGCAAACACAAAAAAAAAATGATTATTAAAACATTATAAAAAAATAATTTTAAAAAAGAAATTAAAAAAAAAATTAAAAAATAGTATCCGTCACATCTCATCTTACTTTTTGTTTTTTAATTACTTATTCCCATTATTCTTAACTATTCGTTGATATGAAACCCCATTTTTAAAAAGAAACTATAAGGATTTTGCGCATGAAAGGTCAAACACCAAAATACACCTCTGTAAAAATAACCTAAAAGTCAAAACGGAAAACTTTTATGAGACGGAGGGAGTATATGTATATAATACTAGCTAAGAATAAATAAAGGATTCTACTAATTAAAAAGAAGAAGAAGAAATAAAAGATACCTTTGGAGAGCCCCAAAGAGGTCTTCTTTCCAAGTTAGAAGTTTTTGCAACAATGCCTTGAGGCAATGACTCACTTCCAGGAGGTCTGCATCTATTCTAAACCATATGTGATTAATTAATTATTACCTAAAGATCACATTTAATTACTGTATAATATATACTATTTGTAACATCACTTTAAACTTAATTTTCATATTAATGGACTTAAGTGAGCATTTATATTCATGTTTAATATTATGCAATTGCAAAGAGCAAACCTGACATTTTGTTTGATCCAAATCATCCCTTTTCCATCTCAAGAGTTTCTGCATTTTTAGAAATACAATGGAAACCAATTCAGTTTTATAGAAAAACTTTTGGTCCGTTTGGTGCACGGAATAGACGGAAATGAATTTAAATTGAGATTTGAAATTCTATGGAACTGATTTGGATGGAATTGAATTTTCCAATTCCAATCAATTTTTGGCACAACCAATTCCAAATCCATATATTTCTGTGCTACCAAACAGCAGAATTGGATTTGTTGTCCCCAATTCCAATTCTATAGTTTGAATTCCGTGTATCGAACAGAGCCTTTATATTTTTCATTTTGATTTAGGCAGAAAAAAAAAATATTTTTTATATAAGAAATAAAGTAAAAAACTGCATTTAAAATTTGACCTCTTTTCTAATCTGTATGAAAGAAGTCCCAAGAAGGAGCAACAAACAGAATAGAGAAGTAACAGGAATTAGCATGCACACACACCATCTCCTCTTCTGATCTCTAATGAGTGGAAACATCTGTTTCATTTGTTCAAATATAGGTCATATATACACACATAAGTAATTAATTTTGCACAAAAAAATTAGGGTTTGAACAAGGTATGTACCTAAATTTTATCCCTACTTGAAAATAAATATCACAGATAACGCAATTTATAAACACGGAATGTTATTTTCCTTTTTGTTGGGACCACGTGTATCATCATCTCAATCCTACATTAATATGATATTGTTCGCTTTAGACTGAACTCTCGTGAATTTCCTCTTGGAAATCTTCCAAAAAGAAAATTTTTCATGCAAACTTGCGAATCAAAGATTAAAATTTAAAAAAGATCTTGGAATCCAAAATACTCAGAGTATGCAATAATTATTTCTGCATGGCAGTCACAGTTAATTGAGAATATCGTTTTCAATTTGCATTAACATTTTAGTTAAAATTTTAATGACACAAATTGACCTTGAAAATGTTAAAGCTAAACGATATTATTAGAAATCTGCAGCAAACAGGAAAAATTAAAACAAATTAAGTGGCTTACAAAGTTTGAGGATTTCATGTTCATGATTAGAAAACCCGATTTGGAACAGTGCTCCGATCGTCTGCTCCGATCAGACGGCGGGCGTTTGATCTGCCGGCACCATTATTATTCGGCGGTGGATGATCGTTGATGAGGAGGAAGAAGAAGTCAATGGCGCGAAGGCTATGGCGGACGTATAAGACATTAATTAATAGATCGAACGAGCGGTTTAATTAATTGGTAATCAGTTTGTATAATAAAGATTTGTTGTGAGAGTTATTATGTATATATGTCTTCCTCCGATCTGATCAATCTTACTTGCAACTCCCCTCCTCCTCTCTCTTTCTCGAAATTAATTCTCCCTAATTACATTAAAAACATTAATTAACACTTAGACCCGTATTAAAATGTTAAATACTCCTTACTTTTTTTGAGAGTGCATTTAAGAAGGAAAAATTCACCCAAATAGTTCTAAAACATTTTTATATCCACAATGTTGCTCCGAGAATTGATATATGTTTATTTTTGTGTTATAAATATTGGACACTAATGTAAACACATACCAATTCTTGAAGCACTAATTTAATATAAAAAAATATTTTAGAGCATTGATGTCATTTATTCTATCTCAGAGTGTTTATGTAAAGTCGTGCAATTCTAAGAATAATGATTTGATTGTTTTGATTTAAGAATTGATAGATTTGATATCATTTTTGAAACTTTAAATAAAAAAAATTATTTTTAGGATTTGAGATGGATGTTGTTTGAGAGATACTCGTATAAAAAAATGATTTATAGTGATAGACGATAGTGATCAGTGACACTGCAACAGAGAATGAGCAGGGGCGAGGATTGCAGTAGTTTGTGGTGAGGTTATGAAATCTGAAAATATAGAACTTATATCTCTTTTGTTCATTAAACGCATTCTTAATCATTCAATGGGTAAAAGCGATTATATACAGTAAATGAAGTAAGTCAGCAACCATATTTTTATGGCATTTATTAGTTCAAAAATATCTAAAACGTCATTTAGGCTATGTTGTTTTTTGTTGGAATTTCAAAGTTGGATGTTGGAAATAACTGGATGGAGTTGAAATTACTTTCTATCTCCATCATTTATTTTTCTTTTTTCAAAGATTAGTCTTACTTTTAAAAAAATAAAAATAATATATATAAAAATAATGAAATGAGAAATATAATGATAACGATACAAAATTAATGAAATAAATAAGGTAATCAATATAAACTAACTTGAAACTGTTAAGAAATAAAATAAAAATATACGGAGTAGTGGGCATTAAAATTGTACGCATTATATAAAGTATTGATGTACCAATTCTTATTTTTTTGAAAAAATTATCAAGAGTAATTTCAACTTTACCAGCCAGCCTATTCTTTTTTATAAAAAAAATAGTACATTAAAACTCTTTATAGTGCATAAAATGTTAAAACCCACACCTCTATATACATTTTTTTATTTCTTACCATTTTCAGTTTAATTTCTATTGACTACCTTCTGTATTTCATTAATTTTACATGATCTTAATTACTTTTATCATTTTCGTTATTTTTTATATCTATTTTTTATTTTTTCTAACGTAAGACTAATCTTTAAAAAAAGGAACGGAGGTAGAAAACAATTTTAAAAATTTAAATGAAAAAATTAAAAAAATTAAGGAAAAATTACCTAAAATAATCCCAACTTTACCCGATCTTTCAAAAATAATTCCACCTTTCACTGTGATGCATAATAATCCCAACTTTATTGAAATTTGCCAGTTTTGGGTCGCCGTTAAGTTTCTAACGGATGGTTAACGGAAATGCCCGTTTTAGGCAACAAAATGAAAGTTGGGATTATTTTTGATGAGTTTTTGTTTTTTAATTTTTTTTGAAATTTTTATTTAAATTTTTTGAATTACTTTCAACCTCCATCGTCATTTCTTTTTCCTTTTTTAAAGATTAGTCTTAGTTTAAAAAATAAAAATAATAGATATAAAAAATGAAAAAATGAGATATATAACTAAAATGATACAAAAATAATAAAATAAATAAGGTAATCAATGGAAACTAACTTGAAATTGGTAAAAGTAAAATAAAAATATACGGATGGGTTTTAATATTTTACGCATTATACAAAGTATTAACATATCACTTCTTATTTTTTAGAAAAAATTATCTAAAATAATTCCAACTATACCGGACGGCTTGTTCTTTTAAAAAATAAGTAGTACATTAAGACTCCGTATAATGTGTAAAATGTTAAAACTCACCACCCCGTATATATTTATTTTATTTCTTACCAGTTTCTGTTTAATTTCTATCGATTACATTATTTATTTGATTAATTTTGTATGGTTTTAGTTATTTTTCTCATTTTCATTATTTTTTATATCTATTTTTTTTAAGGTAAGAATAATCTTTAAAAAAGACCGGGTAAAGTTGGGATTATTTTGGGTAATTTTTCCAAAAAAAGAAATTCATCAAATTCATTTTGTTGCGTAAAACAGACATTCCCGTTAACCTGCCGTTAGCAACTTAACGGTGATCCAAAACTCACAAACTTCAATAAGTTAGGAATATTATACATTATAGTAAAGATGAGATTAATTTTTAAAGATCACATAAAGTTAGAATTATTTTGAATAATTTTTCCTTAAAATTTTCCAAGTCTAAATCGAACTCGTATTTCGCATATATGATATATGACAAGTTTATGGTTTTTTTACTTGTGACTCTAACATTTATTTTTTGTAACTCTAACACATCTCATATTGAATACCAGCCTCATTTGTCTGTTCAAAAAAAAAATACCAGTCTCATTTGTGAATAATATTTTCAATTCAAATTAATATTTTGAATGAGTTTTTATAAGTGTAAATTAACTTAATAAAAGATTACACTTAAATAAAGAGAGAGTATTGAAGAGACAATACAAAAAGAATTCTAATCACTTCCCATCACCTACAGTCCTAAAACCCTCTGCATCCCCATTCATGATCCGATTGGGAGTTTTATTGGATTTCCCTAAAAACTCAAACAAGAATGTGCCTCTCTTCCTCTCCGCATTGGATCACGGCGGCGACGTCTGTGCCTTTGTGATGATGGCGGAGGCGGAGGTGACGGCGCAGCAGCAGTAATTCTATGCGGATTCTGGAGAAAGAGAGTACCAACGGGAATCGGAGAGGAGAAGAGACTGAATTCGGAGAAACAATGTGCGTGATTCTCGAGGGAGAAGAAGACAAGAAACAGGTGGGTCTAGTGGGCGGCGGCGGGCCTGAGCCGCCGCCCAACTTCTCGGCGGTGGAAGATCTCTGCATTTACAGATCAGGGTTCCCGCAGCCCCCCCATTTCCCCTTTGTTCAAACCCTCAACCTTCGCTCTATCATGTATTTAGTCTTTCAAAATTATGGGATTTTATCTCCGTTGAATTTGTTGTCTTCTATCTGGAATTGAGGATGAAAAATTGAAAATCTCATCCCTTTTTCATTTGGACAGATATCTGTGTCCGGAGCCTTACCCTGAAGAGAACAAGGAGTTTCTCCGCCTAAACAAAATCAAGCTTTTCCAGTTTGGAATCGAAGGAACCAAGGTGAAGAAGATCTTTTCATCTCATGGTGTTTTTCATTGAATCTTCGATCTCGGCTGTGGATAAATTTCTTCAGGATTAAACCATTTGGGGCCTTCTAAAGGAGTTTGATCTTTTCTTTAATATGTTTGGCATGGTTTTAGTTAGTAAGTGAAATTGATTGATAGATCCTTCTCTGTATAGGAGCCATCTGCTATTCCCAGGAGTGCCATTACAGAGGCCCTTAGAGTATTAATTGGTATGAACCTTACTATGGTGACATGAACATTGCAAATGTTTTCTTTTCTTTCACTTAACTACTTTGGCTCCATCTGATTGACGAAAAATGGTTTCCTAGAAATTGCTTTTCTTGATTTTCTTTTGTTGGTGCCGCTGAATATTTTTTTCCCTGGATTTTTTACATTTCTAGGGAAAATACTTTCTTTTATGAGGAAAGGAATTTGTTTTACTAACCCATGAATCGTTTTACGCTCTTTTCCTCTTTCTCAATATACAATTGAACATAACAACTATTTGTTATGCTATTAAGTGTATGATAATGTGCATTGACTCGCTTCTTTTAATTCTGTGTCTAGACGTGAGAAACCATCCGGTGCTGATCCATTGCAAGCGTGGGAAGGTAACATACTAACTTCCCTATTTTGTATGATTAGTCTCAGTAACTAGGAATCTTGTGTGTCTATATTATTTACTTAGTCTCATGTTCAGCTGTTCTATTTCAACTTATCACTGATATGAAAAGACTGATTGCACCCTTCTCACTGCAGTCTACTTTGGGACAAAAACTCTTGTGAGACGATTATGCAACCAAAATACTCTGACCCTCTTTCACTTTGCACCAAACCCGGCAACCCCCGCTTGACCATTTATCACCGCTACTGGTTCATTGACTAGTCTTTACTCGATAACTGCTTGCTTACTGGCTCATTGACCTACGTCTTCGGCCATTGACCAATAGTCAATGAGCTGGCAGCAATGGCCATTGGTCAATGAGCCGGTTGCTGTGTGTAGTGACCCAAGATGGGTGGGGATGTGGTTGTCAGAGGGCCAAACAGTTTGGCTTGAATGTAGGAAATGTAGTAATTAAGCCTATGTGTCTCCACAAGTTGAGAAATATGACTTTTTAAGAGACAAACAAGTTGAGAAACAATACTCTTTTTATATAAGGACATAGCCTCAGAGGTAGCACTTGTTAAGGAAAAAGAAGCATATGTGGTCCTATCTAGAG